TCGCAGCGGCGGTGGCTTTTCTGAGCTCCTTTGGTGCAGCATGTCTGTACGCTGCGCCAAGGGAGTGCCTTGACGGTGCCCGCCATGCGGTGGGGCGCATGGCGGTGACGGTGGCATCAGGGTGGAGCCGAGGCGTCCGGCGTGCGGTCGCCATGCCCCGACTCCACCCCTAGGCCGGCCCTTTTGGACGGTCTGTACAGGGCAGTAGTTTCTTGTGGCTGCAGAGCTCTCTGACAGAGAGGGCTAAGTATTTCCCAAAACTAAAACGCCTGGAATTCCATAGCATTGAGCCGTGGCAGTTAAAGTGGTGTCAACTTGGGTTATTCCTGCAGTGCGAATGCAGCCTGAGTTGTCTTTCCTTCTGTGGACCTGTGGAAAAAGCAGAGGAGCCCCAGCACAAAGAGGGCATAGCTTTATTTTCCTTGCTGCACAATTTTTGGTGCTTCTGCAGGGCCTTGTGGGAGGTTGGTTCTCAAGAGCAGCCTGAGCCAGAAGAACTGGACATTCTCAGAAAGTACCAGCATGCACACACTTACACACACACACACACACACAAAGACACGCACAGTGAGGTCTTTGCTGCTATCTGACCTCCTTGAGGATGTCTCATGTGTTCAGCTCCATTACCTCAGCCTGCCTCTCTACTCCGTGACGCCACGTTCCCGGAGACAGAGCGTGCATTCTTTGTTATTATTATTTTTTCCCCTCAGAGAAAGGAGACTGCCGTCTCTTTCCAAGTGTACAAAGCACACAGCCAGGCAGTGGTTTAGTTGAATGCTCAGTAACCTGTCAGAGAGTAGGAAGGAAAGTTCGGGGGGGACCACAACACCCAGCATCCCCACCAGTAGCATCACTAAGGTCGGTGTCATCCAGTGCAGTAACTCTTGGTTACTCATTGACCTCCTCCCATACATACCACACCATGCAGAATCCTTAGCAATGTTTTTTGCATTAAATGTTATTCGTTAAACTTATTTCCCATATAAGCATGGAATGGAATGGCAACAGCCGTGGCACCAACCACTGGCAAAATTTACACGGACATCGTTTCACGCGGTTAAAGCAAACATTTGGCAAGATGTGGTTTATTTATTTATTTATTTATTTATTTATTTAAATGAAAGAATAAAAAATTAATTTCAAAAAGCCACCCATGTGGACCATTTTGGATTTGGGAGTATTTTGGATTTCGGAATTCCAAGTAAGGGAGACACAATTTGTACTGTAGTTGCTCACAGCCTGTATTTCAGAGAGAGAGAGAGAGAGAGAGAGAGAGTCAAATGCTGATGAGAAGGATACATATTAATATTGTAAAATGTATGTGCTACTCCGTGGAGGTCTTTAAGCAGAGGCTGGATGGCCATCTGTCAGGGATGCTTTGATTGGGAGTTCCTGCATGGCATGGGGGTTGGACTGGATGGCCCTTGGGATCTCTTCCAACTCTATGATTCTATGAGAGAACATACTTTCCTGTTTGGAAATTAAGACAGAGGCCCAATGAGAAGATTATTCCATCTCACAGTACTTCGGGAGACAAAATAAAGAACTTTAATCCAACCAACTTGCTTCTAGCTAGAAGGTGGATGTAGAGCAGAGCGGAGGGTGAGTCCTGGAACTACAACTACTGGGAACTAAGACTTATTGGAGAGTCTTTGCAATTTGCAGCAAGAAATCTATGCAGCTTTGTAAATTGTAGCAAGTTCTACTAGCTGAGATGGAGATATGCACACAGCCCTTATCTCTTGGCAAAAACTGAGCCCCCCCCCCAAAAAAACAGGAGAATTTGCACCCTCACCTGAAGATAGCCCACAAAAGTTGGCCCTGAAATCTGGCAAGCTTAGTCTTGTTAGCTTCTCTCCCTCTTTAGGGCAAGATGATTCTGGACTGTGTGTGTATGTGCCTTCAGGTCACCTGTTGACTTATGGCATCCCGATGAATTTCATACGGTTTTCTTAGGCAAGGAATATAGGTTTGTAGAAAATATATGTGGGAAGGAAGGGTTCTTTCAAATGAAAAATCACATTAAATGACAGAGGGGGTATCTTTTCTTTCTCTTTGCCCAGGGATAAGAAGATGCTGAATCTACCTGGAATCTTTACTCTTCAACTTTAGGCACAGTAGTTTTAGTACCAAGACTCACCCTCCGCTCTGCTCTACATCCACCTTCTACAATCCACTTTTAAATTTCACTAATGCCCATCATTAAATGCCTTCTTCTTTGCTCCACACATCTCTCTCTTGGCCTTCATGTTATTCTGTTTTTGGCACTGATCCTAATTAGAATTAATAGTAGAGCCACAGATATAATGCTAGACTGAGAGACAGTAGAAAAAGATCAAGAAGCACACAACTTGTACTAAATCTCAACTTTCTAAACAAGAGAGAGAAAAAGAAAGCAACAGTTTCTAACCCTCAATGCCAGCTAAGATACAACTTTTCTATATTTACTGAATGGCTGGTTTCATTTCTATGCCCCCTTTCTCCCAGAATGGACCCAAGGCAAATCCCCAAAAGAATCAGCTAAAACCAAAACAATAATGCTTTAAACACAATGAAATACAACCGAGATCAGGCACTCGACATTGATTTGCAGGGCTTCTTGCAAGCATTTTGCATTTGACCATCTGCTCTTTGAACGACTGCCAAAATATATACAGAATCCTGTATTTACATTATAGCTGCCTAACGTGTGCCAAAAGCGATGGCCCCGGGTCTTGGCAGCATTGTTGTTTTCCTCCTACGGTGTTGCCTGCCAGCCTTCTCATCATATTGGGAAGGTGTTAGGCATCGGGGTGTGGGAGATCCTAGTTTAAATCCATGGAGCTCACTGGGGCTGCATCCACACTGCAGAAATAATCCGGTTTGGCACCCCTTTAACAGCCATGGCTCAATGTTATGGCATTCTGGGAACAGTAGTTTGAGGGGGCACCAGAGCAAAACTCAAAACCGGATTATTTTGGCAGTGTCGATGAAGCCTGGGTGGATTCTGCCCATCATCCAGCAGTTTTTTTTTTGTTTTGTTTTTTTATTGACCAAGCAAGTCAACCAAGATTTGGTCAACCAACATGAGTCTGAAAGGCCTAAACTCTAGATTGCATTCTGCGTCCACTCCTAATTTTCATATTCCTTCAAGCTCTATCTTTGATTTTCATATTTTCCTAAATTCCACCCTTTTACCTATCTAGATTGCACCCCTGATTTACATATTCCTCTAAACTCTGCTTCCTTACCCACCTGAATCTGCCTTACCTCCACATCTGAGTTTACATATTCATCTAAGCATTGATGACTGACTCACCTGGTTCTGCTTTGACCCCCATCCTTGGCTTTCATATTTTAAAACCTGAATCTGAATTTATATCTGAATTCATATCTGAATTTTGCGAGGCCAACAGTTTATTCATTGCAAACACATTCTTCAAATGACTCAAGAAGTGACACATGGACATCAACTGAAGACCAATATAGGGTGACCAGAGGTCCTAACTGCAAAGAGGACAAGACACCTCAAAATGTAGGACATTCAAGAAAAATTCAGGGCCTTACCAAGTAAAAGCTAACAACGCTAGTAAGAGTATACATTAATTTCATATCGTTTATTTACAACTATATTAAATATACTGTGTTTTATTATCTTTCTGTTAGTGTGTGCCTTCAAGACATTTTCGACTTATGGCAACCCTGAGGTCCCCATAATCATGAGGTCTTCTTGGCAAGTTCTGCAGAGGGGGTTTGCCATTGCCATCCTCTAAGGCTGAGAGAGTATGACTTGCCCAAGGTCACCCAGTGGGTTTACATTTATGTACTCAACCATATTTTTCTGATGGACATATAAAGATACGCTTTTACTCAACCGTATTTTTATGGTGTTTTTTTTCCCCTTTGTACTCAACCGTATTTTTCTGATGAACATATCTTCGTTAAAATGCCATGTTGGCTTGCAATATACTTCTGTGCTTGAAATGCTCGTAAAAACATGCATCTGAAGAAGTAGGCTCAAATCTACGAAAGCTCATGCTACCAACTTCTTTCTTTCGATTACTCTCAAAGGTGCTACAGGATCCCTTTGCAGACTGATTTTCGAGACTAAGACGGCTGCATCTCTGAATTCTAAAAACTTGGGAGTGTTGGGGGTTTTGGATGACAATTCCCATTGTTGCCTAGGGGGGATTCTGGAAGATGCAGTCCACAAGAAGGTACCTTTTCCTAGCAATGGTTTACGGACCAATGGGAAAGCCCTCCGTCTGAACTCTCTGTGTGCCTCTGTGGACATGATGGATTATTGGTGTCTGCGCATGGAGGAAGGAAGGTGGAAGTGAGGCCCCAGGAGACTTTCCCAAGTTTCTAATAATGTTTGGTAGGCAATTTGACCAGCACCTATAGGTCTGAAGTGCAGATCATTTCCAAATCTAAGTGCTTTATGAAAACGCCAAACACTCCGCTGGCTTTAAATCTTTCCATGACGGCAGCTGATTTAAACTGTCAAGTATTTTTCCCCCACCCTTTTCTTCTTTTTTTCTCCTGCTCTCTCTTTTTAAATAATACTCCAGGTTGGAACCCAGTCAAACACTTTAGTGGTTGGAGGCATATTGAACTGATTTAGAAATATGTTGGGGGTGAGGGTGAGGGAACAGTAAATTATATTTTAAAACTCTTTGTTTTGGGGGTTTGGGGAGGTGGGGGAGAGAACTTTTAAAAAGCCAGGAGAACAGCCAGAGCTGGAATCTATTAGTGGGTGATGACTCTGGACCAGCAATATCTGCGTGTTTTGTGAGCGCATGCTAGCATTGCCAGGTTTTCAAAACAGCAATAAGGGACGGCCAGGGTTGACAGTCAGAAAGGTGTTGTTGTGTGCCTTCAATTCATTTCTGACTTATGGTTACTCTAAGGTGGGTTATCATGGGTTTTTCTTAGCAAGATTTGTTCAGAGGAGGTTTGCCAGTGCCTGCTTCTGAGGCTGAGAGAGTGTGACTTGCCCAAGGTCACCTGGTAGGTTTCTGTGGCTGAGCAAGGATTCGAACCCGGGTCTCCAGAATCATAGCCCAACGCTCAAGCCACTAAGCCATGCTGACTTTCCAGAAAGTCCAGGGTGACTGTATGTCCTAACTGCAAAGGAAGACAAGGCACTGCAAAACGTAGGAATTTCCAGAAAATGGAGGACAGGCGCAAGAAAAGCTAAAAAATATACATGTCCTGGAAAAGGAGAATGTTGTGCTTTTGTGTATAAAATGAACATATTGTTCAGATTCTTAAATTACACAATGCACATCTCTGTTGGTATAAAGGCCCTACACCGCATAATATGGGATAGGGAGACATCTTGTTCAGCCTATATAAAAGGAAGAGTTTCCCAGTCCTCAAACAGAGGATTCCTTTAGTATAAGGCACCCCTGCCTGTCTGATAAGGGACAAGCTTTCCAAACCTCAAAGAAGGTTAACCCATATAGGTGTTCATTCAAAAAGGGAGAGACACTTTATAAGGTAGAAAGCAATAGCAAAAGAGGAAAACCACATTACAGGTGGATAGATTGCCCCAACCCTGAGTTTGCAAGACCTGAGCAGTGGAGGTGATAACTGGGTGTCCTGGTGGTCTTTAATTCATAGGGTCACCATACGTCAAAGTCGACTGGATGGCAATTAACTGCAAGCAACCTAACAACAAATAGAACATGAGTCAACAGTGTGATGCAGCAGCTAAAAAGGTCAATGTGATTCTAAGCTGAATCAATGGGGAGCAATATTTGAAGGGATGTCATACTGAGGATGGAGCAAGCTTGTTTTCTGCTGCTCCAGAGAATAGGACATGGAACAATGGATGCAAGCTCCAGGAAAAGAGATTCCATTTCAACATTAGGAGGAATTTCCTGACAGTAAGAGCTGTTCGACAGTGGAACTCACTCCCTTGGAGAGTGATAGAGTCTCCTTCTTTGGATTTTTTAAAAAGCAGAGGCTGGACGGCCATCTGTCAAGGGTGCTTTGATGGTGTCTTCCTGCATGGCAGGGGGCTGGACTGGATGGCCCTTGAAGTCTCTGTGATTCGAACCTAGTACACGCAGTGCTATGCACATGGAAAAATTGGTGCATGAGCTCAGTAACATGAGCCACATAGGCACAGTTCATGCCTCCAGACAATGATCACTCCAATACACATCAGAACTGCTTATCTATCACCTTTACTTACCTCACAAGCCTGTTGTGACTGGGAGGAGGAGGAAAGCCACCTATTCCACATCAAGCTCATTGGGGATGGGGGGAAGAGTGGCTATTAATATAATTAGTTAAATTAATTAAACAAGATCTCCTTCTGTGGTGTTGCCTTCTGGGTTATTTGTGCAGACGTTAATATCCTGCAGACTTGGGTATAATGCGATTGCGTTGTTCCTTAACATATGAGTGGGTAACTTTGGCCAACATGGTGCAATTGTTTGAGCATTGGACTAGGATACTAGAAGGGCACTGGAAGACCAGGGTTCAAATCCTGGCTCGGCCATGGAAACCCACTGGGTGACCTTGGGCAAGTCACGCTCTCTCAGCCTCAGAGGATGGCAATGGCAAACCCCCTCTGAAGAAACTTGCCAAGAAAACCCTTTGATAGAAATGACTTGAAGGCACCCAACAACAAAGACTATGGCCTCTTTCATACTTCAGAATTATAGCACTTTAATACGCTTTTAACGGCCATGGCTCCATCCTGTAGAACCCTAGGATTTGTATTTTGGTGAGGGATTTAGAATTCTCTGCCAAAGAGCAATAGTCCCACAACATACTACAAATCCCAGGATTTCATAGAATGCAGTCATGAAAGGTAATGCATCAAAGTGCTACAATTGTACAGTGTAAAAGTGTGTGTGTCTCTGTGAAATTGACTTTTTCAATGGTTCACCAGCAGGAGTCTGGCACACAATCATGGCCTAGGAAGACCAGCATAGAACAGCAGAACAAAATGCATCAGAGCACTTCCTCAGCTCACAATCTGTTTCCAGTAACAGAAATGGATCTTACATGCATTCTTCTTTCCCCCCCCCCCCCCCGACATAAATCTACTCCTGTCTTCTGCTGAGCTGTCCTGAATTGAGCAGCCTAATCTAGGAAGAGAAAAAGGCTTTTTCTTTCATGATTCTTCAGCCATTGGAAAAGTTGGAGACTGTTGCTGCATCTCAGCCATAGATCTCCTTTTAGATCCTTATCTACCTTCGGCCTGCCTTAGCACTTACTCTTTCACGTAATAAACAACCAGTTTAAGGATTTCACTGTCACGAAATCAGGATATAGCCATCATGTTAGTGGGCTTTAAAGGGGATTAGGCAAACTCACAGAGGATCTATGCCTATCAACGTCCGTCAACTGTGACAGCCTCTGACAGCAAGCTAAAATGCGCACAGACATCCGATGCTGGCAGATACAGCTTGGAAAATTACTTTGAAGATGTAATTCATTACAGTTATCACTCTGAATGCCATCTCTAGTCGTTTGCTACCATTATACTTATACTTTTTTTAAAATGCCAAAGGATCTTGCAGCACAGGACTAACTGTGCACAATAAGTTGTAGCATAAGTCTTGGTCTGCTTCCTCAGATGCAAATCAACACGGCAACTGCACGCCGCTGCCCCGATCCAGCTCTTTGCCGCCAACACTTGAACCATGTGATATTTCTCCCTCCACCATGTCATATCTATAAAAATTCAAACTATAGCCATTTGGCGGCCGCAAAAAGGAGGATCAGGGATGCGGCGTGTGGTTGCATCGGCCGCTCTTTTCTGGGCCTGGGGCCGACGCGTCCAGCAGCCTCTGCCCCGATCCTCTGTTTCCCGGGGCAGTCCAGGGCCGCCCCGTCTGCATCTCCCCAAAGTTATCCTTTGCTCAGTTACATTTGTAATGTAAATTAGTTGTCCCTTTTTTACTGGGAAATGGTTACCGTACTTATTTGGAATTGATAACTTCCTAACTTCACTATTAGAAGAGCTGAAAATGGCCACTGATTTGGATGGCTGTAAAAGGGGATCACATAGCCTCCAACACAATGGACATAAATCAGATATTAGGAATGATCAGTCTTCCTGGGCATCCCATCGCTGACTTCAGAACAGTCAATTGGGGGGGGCCAAAGAACAAAAATAAATAAATAAATAAATAAAAATATCTTTTTTTAAAAAAATAAAAATAAATAAAAAATATGCATGCACACTCTTTCAGCCCCAGAAAAGCCATGGCAAAACCCCTGTGGAGATTTTGCCAAGAAAACCCCAAGAACAAGTAATAACAATAATCAATATCATTAAGGTGGGCGATGGCGGCAGCAGGACCGGCCTGAGGCTGGTCCAAAGGCCTCGGGGGGGCCGCATCCGGCCCCCGGGCCTTAGGTTGCCTACCCCTGCTCTAATCCGTCAACAGTGGGCTGAACAGAGACAATGACTTCCAGGTACACTACACATACTATAACACTGGTCAACACCCCAGACTCTTGAGGATGCTCTTGGCCAATTTATCACATCTCCTGCCACATGCCAAAACTCCCTCCACCATTCATATGGTCATCCATCCACCTTGACCCTAGGCAACATCTTTCCACCTGCCTTGGACCTTCAACGACCATAGTTAAAATTGAACTTGTCACCTCATCACCATTGCCACAACATTTGCATTTCTATGGCTATTCATACAGTCTGATTATAAAGGTAATTCCTGGGCATCAGTTCACTCCATGTATATGAGGAAATAGACCAAGTCTACTGAAGCTTTGTGCTATCACTTTTATGCTATAATGCTTTATGCGATAATGTGAGATTTTTAACATCCTGGCCTAATAATAATAATAATAATAATAATAATAATAATAATAATATTTATTTATACCCTGCCCCTCTGTTAAAAACAATCGCCAGTGGAGCTTCGAAAGCTTGCAACATGTATTTTATGCATTTTGGTTGGCCAATAAAGGTACCACTGTTTTGTGGATTTTGGATCTTATTGTACTTTTTAAACTCAAAGATGCAAACCTATCATAGGGTTTTCCTGGCAAGATTTGTTCAAAAGTGGTTTGCCATTGCCTTCCCCTGAGGCTGAGAGCATGTGACTTGCCCAGTGTGTTTCATGAAGGAATTGAACCACCAGAGTCACAGTCCAACACACAAACCACTGCACCACACTGGCTATAAACAGGATGTTGTACCCATGTACTAATATATGGATACCTTTGCTTTTCATGGGCATGGTGTAATGAATTTATGAAATTCAGTGGCACAGGATGTGGTGACAGCCACTCATTTCAATGGCTCATGGAAGAAATGGGTTCATGTAAGCATAATCACTATGCAGAACCTCTACAAATAGACACAGTCTACCAGGAATACAGAGCCAGTGTGGTGTAGTGGTTTGAGGGTTGGACTATGGCTCTAGAGACCAGGGTTCGAATCCACACTTGGCCATGGAAATCCACTGGGTGACCCTGGGTAAGTCACATGCTCTCAGCTTCAGGGGAAGACAATAGCAAAATCCTCTGACCAAATCTTGCCAAGAAAATCCAACGATAGGGTTACCTTAGTGTTGCCATAAGACAAAAATGACTTGAAGGCACACAACAACAAACAACTACCTAGCCTCTCTACTTTCTCCTTTTTCTCCTCTTTCTCTCAGCCCTGGCTTTTCTGTTCCATCCAACCTGATGAAGAGTTCTACAGAACTCGAAAGCTTGCCCATTATATGCCATGCTGCCCAGAGAAGTCATTCTTTTTTCTTGATTTTCCTTCTACTTTTTTTCTTTGGCCTCTCCAGAATCTCCTGCCTACCAGTCATTCAGCACAGGAAGGAGAGCTTGCTGACGCACATTCACAGGCTCCGCACGTTTGTCAAGAGTTCTTTAAACAGAAATTTTCCTGCATCACAGTTAGCGGAAATGTTACGACAAGGGTGTTCAGAGCACAGGAAGATGAAAGCGAAACTTCTACATGCATCTTCATTGTCAAAGAGGGAGAGGCCAGGAAAGGGGTGATGGTGGTGGTGGTGGTGGTGGAAAGGCTTGTGGCAGAAATTTGCATTGCTGTTGTCTTCTTTTTCCAAAAATAACCCAGTAC